ATCAACAGTGTGCCCTTGTAGCCAAAAAGAGCTATATTAGTAGAAGCATTGGGCTATGGGTACATCTAGACTACATCCCTCTTTTGACATAGGGATATAAATTAGACACTTCAAAATTGCAAAACTGCTTCATTTGCATATTCGTGTCATGGCTCTCTTTTGAAAAAGCACTATTTCGAAAGTGAAACCGCAATCTAGACATAGTCAAATCCTGGTTTCATTTGCAATTTCCAAGTGTCTCATTTACATCCCTCTGTCAAAAGAGGGATATAGTCTAGACACACTTTATATTAGTAGGAGCACTGCCACCAGATTGAGGGAAGTGATTATTTGGCACTGGTGAGGCCGCATCTGGAGTATTGCATCCTGTTTTGGGCCCCCACTACAGAAATGATGTGGACAAATTGGAGAGAGTTCAATGGAGGGCAATGAAAATGATCAGGGGGCTGGAGCATATGATTCATGAAGGGAGGCAGAGGGAACTGGGATAATTTAGTCTGCAGAAATGAAGAATGAGTGGGATTTGATAGCAGTTTTCAACTACTTGAAGGGGGTTTCAAAGAGGCTGCAGCTAGACTATTTTCAGTGGTGGCAGATGACAGAACAAGAAGCAATGGTTTCAAGTTGCACGTGGAAGGTCTAGGCTGGATATTAGGAAAAACTATTTCACTAGGAGGTTGGTGAAGCACTGGAGTGGGTTCCATGGGGAGGTGGTGGAATATCCATACATAGAAGATTTTAAGGCCAGGCTTGATAAAGCTCTGGCTTTAATGATTTAGTTGGGGTTGGTTCTGCTTTGAGCAATATGTCCAACATAACTGGAATTACATATGAAACAAGGTGCCTGTCTCCAGCAAAAACCTTTTTCAGTTTCAATCAGCAGCATAACACCTCCTACTGAAAGGCTTTCTGGAATCCAACAGGACTGCCTCGGTCTCTATGAAGAAGTACAGGATATGTCCTAGATGAAGCACAGAGGCCATGCTGCCAGCTAAGGTTAGCTGCTGGTACTAGAGTTCTCAATGTGGGGTAGATATTCATAGATTAGAAGGCCAGGAGGGACCATACTGTTTGTCTAGTGTGATCTCTTGTAGTGTGTAGACTGACCACAGGACTTCTCTGAATTCATTTCTTTTTGAACAAAAGCTTATCTTTTGGTAAGACATCCAATCTTTAATGAAAAATATGGAGTGATGGTCCATCTAGATTTATGAAAAAGAGAAGAAGTTCTAATAATGAGAACTACAATATCTAGAGTACTGCAAACACAACCAACTTGGATCTGTCTCTCCAATATTTGGCAGTGCTCTTAGAATGAGAGGAGATGGAAGAAAGACATAAAAAAAATCAATTTCCCTCGTTAACTTAATAAATTTGCAGACTGCCCTTTAAACACATCCCTGTGTCTATCATTCACTTGTGTGTAAAGTTTCCTTTCCTTTCCTTGTAGGCATTTCTAAGGTACCCATCATTGAAACATCTGTTTTCACACTTCATTCCGACTTACCTTTCCCCTTTTAACTTTAGCCACTGGGTGCAGGCACTAGGAGAGCAGACTATCTCTGCAGCTGCCAGCACTGCTTCTCATGTGCAGATGTGAACAAATACACCCTCTGAACTACCAATCTGTGGGCGCAAGGTACAGACCAGCAGATTCTGAATGCTGGTGAATTCCAGTTCCAAAATATGTCAGATGTGTGTTGACACATTCTCTATCTTAACAGCTGAGACGAGACCATCAATATCTGATAGAGTTTTCAGTTCTGATCTGAACTCTTAAAGTCATGTATAAAGAATGAAAAAAGATTAATCCAGAATTTGAAGCAGTCACTTAACCCATGTTGTTGTCATCCAGAAAACAGCAAATCAAATTAAGTAAATTGCTATTATACCTTCACAAATAAGTACTTATATGGTGTTCACTGCTGTGCATCTCCAAAATCATATAATAAAGATCTTTGGTAAGAACTAGTTTAAAAATAAAAAAAAATCTACTCTAACGATCCCATTCTGATATCAGTAGCAACAGCTAAGATGAGTTGCTGATCCCAACAGCTAAGACAGTGCAATAGTAATATGAGTTATGTCAAACACATTGTTTAGATTCAGTCAAAACATGACTTCTAAGAGAGCCTGATATCCACACAGTTGACTGCACTGTGTCAAATAAGGCACATTGGATATTTATTCAAAATGTGCCTTCTAATTTCGAAGAGACTTCTAAAACTCCTCCAGGTTGCACTGGCAGAGAGAAGCTCCCTTTTTACAAACCCATAGGCTATGTCTACATTGGCAAGATTTTGCGCAAATACTTTTAACGCAAGAGTTTTTGTGTTAAAGTATTTGCGCAAGAGAGCGTATACACTGGCATGTGCTTTTGCGCAAAAGCATCCGTGCCAGTGTAGACGCTCTCTTGCAGAAGAAAGCTCCGATGGCCATTTTAGCCATTGGGCTTTCTTGTGCAAGAAATTAACGTTGCCTGTCTACACTGGCCTCTTACGCAAGAACAGTTGCGCAAGAGGGCTTTTTCCTGAGTGGGAGCATCATAGTTCTTGTGCAAGAAGCACTGATTTCACACATTAGAACATCAATGTTCTTGCGCAAGAACTCCCTGCCAGTGTAGACAGGCAGCATGTTTTTGCGCAAAAGCAGGTGCTTTTGCGCAAAATCATGCCAATGTAGACACAGCCATAGTATGACCAAAAACCAAATGAAGTAAATGGAAAAATGTTTACTATATTAGTCTCTGTGTCAATCCTAGGGAGAGCACATGCATTCTAATTTAAGTATTTGCTGAGTTCTGATTCAAGGTACACAGCAGGCACCAGAGAGAGATTCTGCTAACAGGGAAGTTTTCTCCATTTGACACTAACACAGAGACCATTTTATGTATTCTTTGAGGACGTTTTAAAACAACAGCATCAAAATAGATGCTGCTTCTGAACTTCCAAGGCTATGGTTAGAAGTATACGTAATTACTATTCTGTCAAAAATGGATAAACTTCCAATATAAAAATGTTGGTATTTACCTAAACCAGTGAGGTGGACCTGGTAGACTGGAATATTTGCAAAGAAGGTGGGTTCAAAGGGGAGATACACTATGATTAATATCTTTACAAATAGCCACCAGTGGAATGATGAACATATATGCATGTTTCTGTTAAAAATGGCTTTCTAAGAATTAATCCTGGTGGAATTCTGTGACATTGCACAATGCAGAATTTTCACATAAATGTTCTGTGCAGAATCTACCCCCTCCCCCAAACATAGAAATGGGCTGCAGAGCTTTTGGTTGCCACTAGGAACTGCTGGACCTGGAATAGCCCAGTTTACAAACAGAAGATGCTGCCAGTGGCAGAGGGACAGAGTTGGAGGGCTCTGAGCAGCTGCAGTTCCCAGCATGACCCCCAAAAAGGAAGACACGTGCAGAAGGCTCCACATAAACCTGGACTTCAGCATCAGGCTGTTTCTCTGGGTGGATTCCTGGGCTCTTGCAGGGTTGGTGGGTGCATGTGTCTGTCTGAACTGCGGGTGACTCCACAGCTGGGGTGTGTAGGTATCAGGCTGGGGAGTATCCTACATCTGGGCTTTAGAGGTGAAAGGGTGTGGGTGTCTGGCCTGGGGGAGTGGTCGGGGTCTGGATGGAGGTGTGGGCGGCTGACCTCCTGGTTATGCTCTGGGGAAGAGAGGGCAGAGAAACAAGAACTGGATTGTTGTAGGGCAGTGGTCTCCAACCTTTTGAAGCATGAGATCACGTTTTGAATTTAAGTGCAATCTAGGATCTACCTCAAATCCAAACACCCAGGCTCCACCTCCTTCCTGATCCTTCTCCATGGCCTGGTCCCTATTCACTCCATCCTCCCTCCCTCCCTCCCTATCCTCACATTTTTCAGGCTGGGGACAGAGGGTTTGGGCATGGGGGAGGGGGATGCGGACACTGATCTTGTGCTACAGGATTTGGAGTGTGGGAGGGATTCAGAGTTGAGCTTTGGGCAGGGAGCTGAGGTGCAGGAAGGGGTTCAAGGTGCTGGCTCTGGGAGGGAGTTTGGGTGCAAGGGGACTCAGGGCTAGGACAGAGGTTTAAGGTGCAGGAGAGGTTCAGGACTGGGGCCGGCAGTCAGAATGCAGGCTCCAGCTGGGCACCGCTTACCACAGTTGGCTTCTGGATGGTGGTGCAGGTGGCTAAGGCAGGCTCACCCCTACTCTGGCCCTGCATCACTCACAAAAGCAGCCAGCAAACTCTTTCCATCCCTGTCCTCCCTCTACTCTGTGGAGATAGGGTATAGGGTGAGGGGAGGGGCACCCTGACATCAGCACCCCTCCTCTTCTTTCCATGCATTGCACAGCAATGAGGAGGTTCCTAGGGGTGGAGGCACCTCCAAGGCAGAGGGCACGAGCAGCACGGCAGTGCTGAGAGGGGCAGATGAAATGCCAGAACTTGATAGCCTCCTGGCCAAACCTGTCAGAATCACCTGTCAGAGGTTCCAAGATCTACCAGTAGATCCCAATCTACTGGTAGGTGACCACTGTTGTAGGGGTTTCTTTAACTCTACTTCTGAGGAAATTTTTGTGCATATATTTTTGTTACAAACACGGCTGCTAAGTATTTTGAAATAAATTTGCAAAGTAATTGAAACTGGGGTGATTATATAATGTTATTTTGAAAAATAAAATATTCAGAATTTTAAAAAATATTGCATATGGAATTTTTCATTTTTTTAGAGCCAAAGTCCCCCAGGAATAAAAAAATATGTAACTGCCGTATATAAAATGACTGCACAATATGTCCACCAATTATATCTTTCAGAAGATAACTAAAACTACATGGAAGAACTATCAGAATCTCACATGACTAGCAACTAGAAGAATCCATGCTATGAATGGTGTAATTGAATTTTCTAAAACCAAAATAAACTGACTGTAAAAATGACACTTCTAGAGTGAAAAATGTCAGTTATGCCAACAATTAAATAAAAACTCTTCTACATAAATAAAATTACCGTTTCTGAAAGGATCACCGCTTCAGACTGTTGCAGAGAAATATCAGTAGATTTAAACTCTTTATCAAATATTTCTTGGTGTTTGCTGTTCCTTTTTTCCTTCTTCTTTTCCTTCTTATCTTTATCTAGGTCATCCTTGTCCAACTTATCTTGAGACCTAGAATGCATCTTTTTTGGCAGAAGGGGTTCGAGCACAAACCTGAAGGAAAATTTGGTTTATTTAGACCAAACTGTCAAAACAACAAATTTTGTTTTTCCCAGTTCCAGCAACAGAATAATTTTAGTTGAGAGACCTTTTGTTAACCAAGTAATGCTCACTATACAATGACAGGAAAAGAAGACAATAAAAAAGTGTGATTGATGCTATAATTTAATGCAGAACTGTTAATGAATCAGTATTTCATATCTCCCAGTTCTGAGGTAGATTTACTGATAGATTTTACACACACATGAACATCCCTTTGTGTCAAGTATCAGAGGGGTAGCCGTGTTAGTCTGAATCTGCAAAAGCGACGAGGAGTCCTGTGGCACCTTATAGACTAACTGAAGTGTAGGAACATAAGCTTTCGTGGGCAAAGACCCACTTCGTCAGATGCATGCAGTGGGTCTTTGCCCACGAAAGCTTATGCTCCTACACTTCAGTTAGTCTATAAGGTGCCACAGGACTCCTCGTCGCTTATCCCTTTGTGTGTTTATAAATCATCACATTTATAGATCACACCATCATCCACTACACATGTCCAGCCTGCCTCATCCACTGCAATTCTTAGCAATTTGCAAATGATCATAATGCAAACTGATGAAGTTCTACTTCATGAATATGTGTATGCCACAAATGTACACACAGGCAGTACTTGTGCATAGATTTTACAGGCTCTCTCTCTCTCTCTCTGTCTCTCTCTCTCTCTCTCTCACACACACACACACAATCACAATACACATACGGCGTATACATGTATACAAAAAAAATAAATATTATCATTAAGGTTGCTAGGTCAAGCACTGAAAAGTCAGGAAATGCCAGAACTAGTGTTGCCTCAGCAACCATAATTCTGCACCCCTGTGCATATGCATGATGGTTGTGACTTTAATTACATAATCACACACTATTTTCTCCATCGGACTTCTGCCTGATTCACTACTCAGGACAAACTTGCTTTGGGTATGAACCATGGCTGCGCAGAGAAGTAGGCTGTTATCTGCTGGCCCTCTGCTTCATTTGTTCCAGAAGTTTAAAGGTGTATTGGTACTAGAGCTAACAGGACATTTTCCAGAGCAATGGTTTTCAGGTTTAACTAACAAGTTCCACGTCAGCTTGCCTTGAACCCAAAATGCTTGCTCTTAGTTCAGATGCTCAAACATGGACCCAGGACAATCCACAATAGGTCAGAGCTGCTGCAAATGCAAGGAAATTACTGCTCTGCCCAATTGCTCTGCAATTTTTCAAAGGTTAATAAATTGGCCAACTCGGGATGGGTGGATTTTCATAGGCACAGCAAAACAGTCACCTCGTTGCCAAATTTCAAGTATTGGCTGCAAAGAATAGATGCATCAGAGACTGTCAAAGAAAAGGTCTCCAGAATTTTTTTTAACATAGGCAACACATAACAATGTATTTTCCTCTAGTTCCATTCTCAGAAATCTGATCTGTTTCAGCTGAAATTTCCATAGAAAATTCAACCTGAGGCACACATCTGGCATGGAAAATTCAACCCACATGGGTTGAAGGTTGGCAAAGTTATAAGCAACTGAAGACACAGTTTATAATAGGAAGTGTCAGGCAATCTTAATAATAAACGATGCTACCAGCTCCATGCATAATAATACAATGCATAATATGTTAAATGTGATTAGCTAGAATTGTGTATATGTATGAGGTGTATGCATATATCTATAGATCATGATATATGTGTGTACAAAGTACTATGAAGATAAGAGAGCAACACTAAGCTTTTGATGCTATAAAAAAGATCGAAGAATGACAAGTTAGTGAAAGTTTTTAGGTTAGGTTTTTATTGCCAATAACTAAGGGCAAGGTTGATTTCTGAATAGTAGATGAATTTTCATAACTGGAACGGTACAAACCTCAGGCATTTGGAAAACAGACATGTGCTTTAAGTGTGTGAAAATATGCAAGGCTGGTATCTGACTACCATAACCTCTCTTTGAAAAGATACAATTTTTACCCTTCACAGTTGACTATTTTTTGCTCCAAATGCACAGCAGAAGCCTTTAGGGTTTTAGTGAACTTTTAAAACATACTTTTAAAAGAAAACAGTAAACAGTTCAATATTTAAATTTGTTTTCTTAATTTTATTATGTAAATACACCAAGCAAAACTCCAAAGAATATGTGAATGATTTTTTTCTGTTTTGAGTCCATTGGCTTACATTTCCAGGATATTAAAGATCTAAACATATGATGACTCCTTTTGGGCTAGCTTTTCATTATTAACGTGTAACATAAAAGGTAAATTTTTCTACAAAATTGTCCTAAAAATAAATTTCAGACTAAAAATTATTTTGATATGTATTTGCTCTTACGAAAGTTGGAGAATGCAATCTAAAAATAAATTAAAATGATCACATCAGAAAGACAAACTGTGTAATATGAAGTCAATCATCATAAAAAAGGCTTCTTCATTGGAAAAAAATATATACAGTGAAAACTTTGTTATCTGGCACTCTATTAACTGGAAAATTTTGTTAACGGCATCGACTCCAGCTATAGTACAAGGCTGTGTCTACACTGGCATGAATTTCTGGAAATGCTTGAAACGGAATACTATTCCGTTTTCAGTTTTTCCGGAAAAGGAGCGTCTACATTGGCAGGCTGCTTTTCCGGAAAAGCCCTTTTCCGGAAAAGCGTCTGTGGCCAATGTAGACGCGCTTTTCCGGAAAAGAGCCTCGATCGCCATTTTCACTACCAGGGCTTTTTTCTGGAAAAGACTACTGGGCTGTCTACACTGGCCCTTTTCCAGAACAGTGTTCTGGAATAAGGACTTATGCCTGAGCGGGAGCAGAATAGTTTTTCCGGAATAGCGGCTGATTTTGTACAGTAGTGCATCGTTGCTTTTCCAGAAATTCAAGGGCCAGTGTAGACAGCTCGCAGCTTATTCCGGAAAAGCGGCTGATTTTCCGGAATAAGTGGCCCAATGTAGACACAGCCCAACAGTGTCTTCAGGTGCATGCACCTAACTCCTATCTGTCCAGCCAGCCATTAAGGTGTTTCTAACAGTTGGCACTGCCAAATGACATCACCAGTAGGCACCTCCTTCCCTCTCAGTCTGCCTCGAACTGCTGGGAGACAGAGCAATGAGCTTTGTTATCGGCACATTCAATTAATCAACAACCCCCATTCTCCATGAGTCCTGACATACAAAGCTTTCACTGTACTGCACTATAGAGTTGCTGTATATCGGTAGACTCTGTTCCTGTATTGTTATCCACTGAACTTGTAAAATTCAGAGGTATTTTCTAGGGTTCAAATGTTCAGGAATGTGTATTGGAGGCTTCCAGTGTAGAATCAGGAATTACATTTTCATAAAATATACAGTACATTGAAATATTTAAATATGGGTGACTGTGATGGGATGGTCCAAGACCGTTTGAGGCCTTTCAGAAGGCCCTGCAAACATAACCTGTCATAGAAAAAGGGAATAAAGTGGGATCCTCCAAGTTGCATAGAGAGGAGGTATCTTTTCTCCATAAAAATTCATTTAAATAGTGGTGGTGGGGAGGGGAGAGGAATGTTTTCCACCACACAAAAGACATTATATACGTATATAGTATAATTTTTAAACAAGTTATAATCAGAGAATTGTCTAGGGACCTGCTCAGAGCTCCCTGAGTTTCTCCCAAAGCAACTGTGTTGTTATCAGCTGCAGCCTCCTATCCCAAAATGGTGACCTTAGATATTCCCCAGGATATCCTTATTGCTAAATGATGAACTAGCATTCGGCTGGTGAACTGAGGAACTAACCCTCAAGGCTTTATTGATAATGTAACTTGATGTGCTATAAGGCAGTATCAAGGAAGCCAGGAGGAAGGAGACACCATAGAGACATGGCAGTAGTTGAAAACATGTCCCTGTTGAAACTGAACCTGGTTATGAACTGACTCCCTCCGCCTCATGGTGCATGCACGGCTGCACAGATGCTGACTTTGCAAAGTGCTGGGAGGTGCTCAATCCACAGCTCTGCCCCAGATCTACCTCACTTTCCCTGCTCCGCAAGTGCATTCTTGCTCCTTCGCCCACCCCCATGAGCCTCCTGAATCCTGCCAAACAGCAGATTGCTGCAAGTAGGAGGCGCAGAGAGAGATGGGGGAAAAGTGAGGATGGGGTATACAGCATCCTTCTGCCCTCCTCACAGCAATCAATTGTTCTGGGGAATACAGGAGACTCTGGGGAGGGAAGGGAAAGTTGCATGCTGAGTCTTCACTCTCTCCCTGCCAATGAGACTCCTGAATGCCAACAACATCTGATTTCTGTGAGTAGGAGGTGTGAGAAGGAGAGGGGAGTTGCTCATCTACAGGGCCTACCAGAGAATGGGAGGCCTGGGGGAAGATAAAGGAGGCCCACCCAGGTTCCAAGCTCCAACCTGCTAGCAGGATGACAAACAAGGTTATAAGCAGAATTGCACAACTTTAAATGAGTATGTTCTCTAATAGTTCAGTGATAGAATCATAGAATACTAGAAAAGGAAGAGATCTCGACAAATCATTAAGTCCAGTCCCTTGCCCTCATGGCAGGCCCAAGCATCATGTAGATCAACCCTATAGATGTCTGTCTAACCTGCTCTTAAATATGTCCAGTGATGGAGATTCCACAACCCTCCGTAGGCAGTTTATTCCAGTGTTTAACCACCCTGACAATTAGGAAATTTTTCCTAATGTCCAACCTAAACCTCCCCAGCTCCAGTTTAAGCCCATTGCTTCTTGTCCTATCCTCAGAGGCCAAGGAGAACAATTTTCCCCATCCTTCCTATGACACCCTTTCAGATACCTGAAAACCGCTATCATCTCCCCTCTTAGTCTTTCCTTTTCTAAACTAAACAAGCCAATTCCTTTAGCCTTACCTCATAGCCCATGTTTTCTAGGCCTTTAATCATTTTTGTTGCTCTTCTCTGGACCTTCTCCAATTTCTCCACATCTTCCTTGAAATGTGGCACCCAGAACTGGACACAGTACTTCAAATGAG